CCCATATGTGCATGTTGGCTGGGTCCTTTCCACCTCAAGATCTTTGCCTTGGCAGCCAACAGAAGTCCTTTACTGTTTCCTTAGTGTACAGCTTCACATAAAAATCATGATTTGCCTTTTCCTTTGCAACTTCTCTCTTTACCAGTCTAGATGTATGCACGTGCACACAAAACATTTGCAAAAGGCAAATGTTCCAAACTTATTCATCATCTTATGTTCCTCCCTCTTTGTGTATGTCATCACCACAACTCTTTTTTTTTATCCCTTTGAAAAATCCACTGCTATCGGGCAGTCTGCATTTCTTTCGTTATCACTACCCAACACCTTCTCAGGAAGGAAGAAAATCTCTCCCCTTATTGAGGAAAAATGTAAAAGCAGAGTTTCTGTCAAAGGTTACAAGCGCCACATTGTCACTAAATCTTTTTCAGACATCATTCATTGCAACATATTTTCATGTTACACATGCAGCAGTTTCTTGCTAACATCACAGAAACAAAGTAGTCCAAATGATATTCATTGAATTTATGCATCAATCGAGTGATTACATGATGATGTAATGCATATAATCCGTTTTACACTGCTGGTATCGCAGTGAAACCAATCAGACTGATTAATTTGTTTATCACGGAGAATATTGAATTAATGAAATTAATTTGACTCTGATCTGGGCACAGACTATTATATGTTTCTGCGTTGTCTTCATTAGACTGTAATACTGTCACACTGAGTAACCTCATGTACCATGGTTAAACTTTTGCAGCTTGAATGTGAGGTTTGATTCCCCTGCCCAGCTGGGCCACTTCTACATAATGAAAGCCTGGTCAGGTTCTACCTAGCCTCTTGACCACTGACACCTGTGGTAGATTTCAGATGCTTTCTAAATCACAAGCATCTGAAATCTAACATCAACTAGTTCTCACCCTACTTTTTTGAAGCCAAGTCCAATTATCTCTCATATGCTATCAGACTGACACAGTCAAGAATAGTGAAAGTGTTGACTCTGTGTTTTTTTTTGGTCTGTGACTGTAAATGTTTTCACCTACAGAATGTGGACTCCGTTTACCTGAAATCTGAAGCATTGAGACTCCACCCACAAACACCTAGAAGCAGAAGGCCTGCAATAGAGACACAAGTGGAAACTCATGTTGTTTATGCTGCCAGTGCATAGAGCTGATTCTCTGTGTTCATGATGGGAAAACGTGTTTAGTGGTTAAGTCTTTATAGCCCTGGACTAAACATTTTCATGTCTGTTTTTCTGCCTTAATTTGTCTTCATATCAAATAAAATATGGGCATATAAAGTTACTCATAGGGAGAGTCAGGTCGTCTTCAGGGGGAAGGAGGCATGAGCGAGATACTGATCACTTCACAGGAAGATACTTTACAGTGTGGTCTGAGTGCTGAACTCACAAGGCCTGTACAGTCAGTTTAAGAAACGGCATTGAAGCTTGAGCTAGATAACGTCAGGCTGTGTACTTTCACAGACTTTAGAAAAATATTCCAAGACAGTGATATGTTTTGTAATGAAATGTAATTGAAAATATATTTTTTGATCCTGCAAACTTTGATGAAAAGCAGTGTAAGAGTCACGAATAAAATCTGTGGAACAGTAAGGATTTGCTGATTTTAAGACTACAGATGATTAAGAAACAAAGAAAATCTAGCAACAGTTTTCTCTTTGCTGACGTAAATGATGAAACCACAGATTTAATACAACATTACTACCACATAAGTGGTACTAAATGGACGCCATCTAAATTTATTTTAACTTTGTAAATGTTAATTGCACCTCTATCACACCCTGACACAGTCAGTGTGTATATGGGCAGCTTTCTTTCTTGACCACGTTCTTGTGCACATTCTGGGGTGCAACAAATCTCATGCATCCCCCCCCTGTTATTTTCCACTGCGGTGACAACACTGTGTATCAGATAAACTGAAAACCACACAGACACTAGCCTTTAAAACCACACGCAACAAATGCTTTGCTGTTTTCACAGAAATGCGTTGCTTTCGTTCTCCTTTTTTTGCCTGCAACAGAGGAATGAACAAAGGTGTGACTTTAACCACGAGCTGGTTTCACTGTTTTCAAATGGATTCACTGATAGAGTTTTAGAGATTGAAAACAGCTTCATAACATAAAACGTGAGTGAGCGGCAGTACTCTTCGTCACAGTACATTATTAGTGCCAGACTAGCTTGAGGTGACAGAAACACAACTGAAATAACAACTCAGGTTCTCCGAACACATGTTGTGACCCTAACTGCACTATCTGGTCTACTGTGGGAGGTGCCTGTGTGGGGGTGTGGCATCCCCATCTTAGGTACCGCCCTTTATTGTGTGGAACCTATGACTCCATTTAGCAGTGAGCTCTGTTAGTTAAGCTATAGATGGACATTATTATTGTAATGTACAATCCATAGAAAAAGACAGCAATAAATACACAACATGCTATAAAATCAGTAAAGACAATAAATTAACATATGCAACTTCTGCTGTTCACAGTAAGACACAGCTATGAGGCAAACTTAAAAAGCTGATGACTGGTGACTTTTGAATTATTATTCACAAGTAGGAGTTTTTGAAAATAACTTCATAAGGCAGCCAGTGTAACATTGCCAACAATGTTTTTGTCTACCAGTCAGGAGATGGTGCAGCAACATCAGCTCCAATCCTGATAATGCCTTGCCCAAGCCAACATATATACAAAAGCAGCAGTTTCCCAGTTTGCATGTGATTAAAGCATTACCATTACTCCATTTCTCTTTATATCTACGCTGTAGAACAGATTGAACCCACCTCCAGTGTTCCTGGCCTTACTTCACACCTGGTCTCATGCACATGCGGCTTACTGATGGGTGGCTGTAGCTCAGGAGGCAGAGCAGATCATCTACTGATTGATAGGTTGGTAGTTCAATCCCTGGCTCCCCCTAGTCTTCATGCCAAATATCCTTGGGCAAGAGCGTAACTATAAGTTGCTCTAAGTGTGAATGTTAGTTAGTAAGCACTTAAAAATCATAGAGGGAAGTGGTGTGGTGTATTAAGCACTTTGAGTACTCCAAGAGAGTAGACAAGTTCTACTCAGCCCGTTTCTCTTCCTTCTCACCATTACATCAGCTGGATCTCTCCTTTTACCGGTCATAGGCCCTACATTTAAATCAGAATACTTTATTGATCCCTAGGGGAAATTATGCTGGTTACGATGCTCCAGTACAAACAGTAATAAAGAAAAAGCAATACAAGAAGTAAGAAATAGCACAATATATACAATATATGAATATATATAAGTCACTTACTAATAAATATCTGAATAAGAAAGAAGAGCATGTGCAAAAAAGGTGTAGCTATTGCAGTGTACAGTGTGTTAGATGGAGGAGTTGTACA